TTCACAAAAAATAAATGAAAAAAGAACAAATATTTACAAGAATACAATTTAAATTTTTTCATAAAAAATATAAATAAACAATAAGAGAGAAAAAATGAAAAATTGAAACTAATATAATCAATAAAAAATAAATTTTAATCATAACTCTAATGTTCGTAGAAGAGAAAATGAAGTGAAATATTGAAAAAAAAATACATATTAATTTTTTTTTTAAAAGTCTCCCAAAATCTTGTGATTAATGAGAGACAAATTTTGTGATTACAATGAAGTATTTTCTACTTAAAGTTAGTACCTTGAAAAAGTCTCAAAAATTCATTAAAATTTACATACCTTAAAACTTATAGACTTCTAACAAAATTATTGAATACCCGTGATTTTTTTAAAAAAATAAAATTAAAGTTTATAAAAGTCTCAATTCAACACATCAATACTTTTAGAGTTTCCAAAAATTTACATTGAATACCCCTATATTTTTTAAATCTCAGAAAGTTATTAAAAGTTTCAATTGAATACATCACTGGTAAATTAAAACAAAAAAATAATAATACAATAAAATTGAACAACACATTCTCTAAAAAATCACTATTTCAAAACACAACCTCCAAAATTCTCCAAAGTCAAATTTCAATGCTTGGTGTGGGAAGAAACATAGAGAGAATTTTGACTAGATTTTACAAGACTTATTTATACCCTACTTGAATTACTTCTCTATATTTATAGACTAACCTAGGGGTTGAGGGTATTTTTGACTTTTTGATTCATCATCGCACAAATTTAACATGAGTAATTGTATTCACACCACAATTTTTAATTCTCGCACCACATTTTAATTGCATTTAATGTTCTTAATTTTTTCTCATTTTAGTACTTGTGTCTTTAACTATTTTTCATATTATTTTTATACACAAATTTTTCATTAGTCAATACATTTTGTATTTGATAATAGCTTTATATCCAAAAGTCCGTAGAAGTGGCGGAAAACAACTTATTTTCCCATCATATTTTAAAATAAAGAAAAAGTTCAAAAAAATAATTTCCCCCAATTTCAATGTATGAAAACAAAATATTTTGATATAAATTATCATCAAGAACAAGACATATTAATTAATAGAAGTTTGAATTAAATGAATTAAGCTAAATGAACATAATACTTGACATAAGGGTTGACTGACCACTCACATGCATGTGGGTCCAGACTTAAATTAAATAATACCGACATTCTCATGTGTGTGTGTGTTGTATCATCCCCTATGTCAAGCATTATATTTGTGTAGCAAAACTCGAATTGAATATACAGTAACTTTTAGAGTATTTTTGAAAGTTTACAAAAGTCTCAATTAAATACACCAATACTTTTAGAGAGTATCCAAAAGTCTATATTGAATACCCCTAAACTTTTTAAATCTCAACAAGTAATTAAAGTCTCAATTGAATATGTTTCCGTAAATTTTTTTTTTTTTAAATCTTTTTATTTTTAACCGCATATTCTCTAAAAAATCAATATTTCAAAACACACTCTCCCAAAATTCTCCAAAGTCAAATTTCAAAGTTTGGTGTGGGAAGAAAAATAGAGAAAACTAGAATTTACAAGACTTTTTAATACCTTACTTGAATTACTTCTCGATATTTATAGACTAACCTAGGGGTTGAGGGTATTTTTGACTTTTTGATTTGTCATCGTATCGATTTAACATGAATAATTATGTTCATACCACAATTTTTAATTCTTGCACCACATTTTAATTACACGTAAAGTTTTAATCTTTGTTCATTATAACACTTATGTCTTTAACGATTTTTCATATCATTTTTATGCTCAAACTTTTCATTAGTTAATGCATTTTGTATTTGATAACAGTTTTATATTCAAAAGTCCGTAGAAGTGGCATAAAACAACTTATTTTCCCATCATATTTTAAAAAAATTTAAAAAGTCCACAATTTTTAATTCTTGTACCACATTTTAATTACACTTAAAGTTTTTAATCTTTGTTCATTATAACACTTATATCTTTAACGATTTTTCATATCATTTTTATGCTCAAATTTTTCAATAGTTAATACATTTTGTATTTGATATCAGTTTTATATTCAAAAGTTCGTAGAAGTGGCGTAAAACAGCTTATTTTCCCATCATATTTTAAAAAAAATAAATCAAAAGTGCAAAAAAATAATTTTCCCTCATTTCAAAGTATGAAAACCAAAATATTTTGATATAAATTATCATCAAGGAGGAGACATACTAATTAATGGAAGTTTGTTGATGAAAATTCAACAACAAAAAAAAGTTACGAAAATAATTGTTACTGTTGACCCCAAAAAATGTTGCCAACAGATGCCGGGCCCACTCGTGCGCACGCAAGCTTGATCTAACACGCTAATGCCGATCGACGGTCATGATGGCTCCAAGTAATAGGCGTGGGAGTGGCTAGAAGGCACGAGACGTTTCCGTTCGAATTCATTAAGCTAAAATATAATCTGAAATCCGTAAGCTGAGCTGTAAGATGGAAAGAGTCCACCATATACTGGATAATCAAATCATAATATAAATATACCCCATGTAATCATCTGTTGATGATTTGAAAGCTATAAAGTCAGATGTACATAACTATTTAATCAACACTTTTGTACACGGCCGTAGCCCCTCAATGCCCGAAGTGGGAATAGACATAATCAGTATGCACGACTGCAGCCCCTCAGTGCATAATAGGTACCCTTACACACGGCCGTAGCCCCTCAGTGAATAAGAGTCACCTTTATACATGGCTGTAGCCCCTCAGTGCATAAAGTGGAAATAACATAATCATCCTTATACACGGCTGCAGCCCCTCAGTGTATGGGAGTTAAATACACGACTCTAGTACACGGCCGTAGCCCCTCAGTGTACTAGAGAAAAATGATTACATCGGGTATTTTAGGATGGTCTCAAGATAATCATGCCCATTTACTAATTTCTCGAAAATAAGACATTTCATGTAATTAATATACTTCTTTGAAAATTGGGAATCATTTCAACATTGATATTAAATAAACATGATTATAAAATTATAAATTTAGAAGAAATCTCCTTTCTGGAGAAATATGTTCTCCACTCACTCAAAACAAGTCACAATCTATGACGGTCGGTAAGCTTTACCAATATCCTCGTCACCACCTGAAATACCATATAGGATAACCACTTTAACGACTATCACAACAAGAAACCTTTAATATCAAAAGCTTTAGTACTTAAACTAAATTTCTAGATACTTAAATAACTCTTCCAAATTATTCCTTTAATCAAATGAAATCAATTTTACTTTATAGTCCATTTGATAATAACTAATTCCACAACATAACCTTCATTCCAACATAAATGAAATTTCTACTTCAAATCTAGTGAAAACTAATAACCATAATTCATTCCACCTAAATTTTATATTCTAACTTATAATTCGTTCTTCTAAACAAATATTACATCAACATACATTTTCCACCAACCATATTTCATTCAAGAATTCAAATAAAAATTCTAGGGTTTGTTAAAAAAAAATGAATTTCTTACCTTGATATAAATGGGAACTAGAGGATTAATAAACTTGAGCTCCACTATATCTTATATCCCATAAATCTGAAAATTTACCACAACTTAAACCTTAGAAATTTAGCATAATATACCTCCACTCCTAAAGAAAATAACGAGGATAACAAGAAAATTCGAGTTTACCATATCCTCTTTCCTTTCCTCCTCTTTTTCCTTTATTTTCTTCTTCTTTCCCCTTTTTTTTCCTTCTCTTTCTCGGTTTCTCTCGTTCTGCCCAGCTTCTGCATGTGTTGTGTGTGAATTGGGGAGAAAATGGTGTAGAATGGTCTATATATATGGGTTTTTGCATAAGAAGCCCCTTAACTACCAATGTAAGATAAGTAAGTCATCCACTTTAAATTCTAATCAATCTTAAATCCTTACATTATAATACTTGAAAGGTGAACTCCCAACTTAAAATTTTATCCATTGGAATCCCCGAATATTTTATCCATAGAAAAATAAGCCCCAAGAACATAATTTATTCCAATTAAGTCCTAATTGACCTTGACCTTGACAATTCAACCTTGACTTTGAAATAAAAAAAAAAATTGGTTTGTAACAGAGAGCTTCCTCCAAATACTTGCCTTTCCATTTATAATCTAGTGAAAGCGGGGAATACTGTGTGTCAATAAAAATGATATTATTATTTTACTCCTAGCTCCTTCAAAACATGCTCGAAACTCATCACCACTCCCAATAAAATACGTATTTGGGAGGAGGGTTTTTCTTTGCTCACTGCAGTTGGGGCCATAGGATATAGATCTTCCCTTTCAAAGATTATTGGTACCTCTTGAGATACAAACATGATTGTCAAACTTCCACTACATAAATCATATCAAAGTTTCCTAACTTTTTTATGTGGGATAAGTTTTAACAATTTCCAATTGAGTCAAATTCATCACTAGTTTATAGTTTCAAGTGGATGATTTTAAAATCAAATATTTCATTCAAATTTAACTAATTTTCGATAAATAAATATATCAAGTTAGTCATCTCGCAGAGTAGAACGAGAATATACTTGGTTCTGTTAAAACCGGAGTACAGGTCCCACTGAAATTGGAGCACAAAGTTGACCCATTTTATTAATTTAAAAACCATTTCCAACTTATGTGCACTTGACTCTAGGTTTAATAGTTTTTTTTTTATTTTTGAGTAATGGTGGCTCATCGAAATTAGATGAATATTTCAAATAAAAAAGAAGAAAATTTATATCAATCAAAAGTTAAAAAGACGATGGCTTTATTTTATTTTTTATAATCCAATCGTACAAATAAATCACACATTCTCAATTGACAGCATCTTTCTCTGTCATCTAGCATCGACAAGTGAAAGCTAACGAGAACAGTCTCTTTGATACAACCGAATAAGAAAAGTAATTCATTTAGAAATCAAGAATTGACATATAGAAAACAAATTGTGAGGCCTGATTTAACATTTCACATGTTTAAAAGCATCACCATAAGGAAAGCCAATCCGACTGTAACTCCAATGGTCACACTGAACTTGGTTGCTGATGAGAGAGCAGTACTATCAGGAAAAGATACCGCAGGAGGAATCTCAGTTGCAGAAGGAAAAGTATTAAATAGTGGTGAAGGAGAGGGAGAGGAAACTGGAGAGACGAGGGAGGAAGTAGTGGCCAGAGTTTGTGTTGGTGATTGAGCAGCAGCCGGAGCCAATACAGTCGTGTTAATTTCAATCTTCATGCCGGCCGAGCAGTGTCCAGGAATTCCACAGATGAAATATCTTTTACCTGGATTAGTGAGAGGAATGACTGTCAAGCCACCAATGTAAGGAGGGTTTAGAGGGTTGCTTGTCACGCAAGAATCATAGTCCGCCTTCGACACTTCGAGAAGATTATGGAATGATCCATACTGGAAAACTGCATGCAAATATAGAAATCAGTTATTAAATGGATTCATGTAGTCAAACCTAAATCTTAAATTTATAACAAGCATATAATTTTATTAATACTTACACAAATTATCTCCAGGGGAAAATGTTTGAGATGAAGCCCATGTTTTAAGATCAGTGAATTGATCCCATCCACCATTTGGGGCTCCCACAGTGTGATTTGCTGCCTTAGACGTATAAATCAACATGGCTATGATAGCCAAACTAAGTAATGTTCTATGCATATTCTCTTTCAATAGGTGGGAATGGAATTATTTTTTGAAGAAAATTAAAGCTTCAATATAGGTTAATGTAGCTTCTGTGGTTTGATTCTAGGCAAGGGAATCTATTTATATGTGTAATTGACTGGTACCAAACATGTCTAAAAACAAGAATCACATTGTTCTGAAGACCAGAAAATTAATGAAGAACTTTAGTGGGAGCTGTTGCTGGTTTAGTTTCATAGTTGTTGCTTAGGATTGGTTGACACGGGTTCAGTTATGTTTAATTTAACTTATCAAGCATGTTTAGAAATGAGGATCTATTGTTTTTTAAGATGCACAAATTAATGAAGAATGTTAGTTGGAGTTTCTGGTTTTGTTTCATAGTTGTTACTAATGATTTAATTATATTATTCCATAAATTAAATCGTGACTTGGTACTAGTAAAAAACATAAATTATTAGATAAATTAATAATAAAAGACATTATTTTCTATTGAAATTGACATTTTGACTTGATTACTACTATGTTATATTAATATTTGTATACAAAACCAAAGCTCAGATCAAGTAGTAAGAGTGAAGTCTTATTATGTCAGTAACTTAGATTTGAATCTCACATGTGAGAAGGGATAAATTTAAAAAATAAATAAAAATTACAAATAGTTGCACACTATAATGGTGGTGGGAGATAATAGTTGGTTATAAAACTGATTACACCACCTATTATAGTGTGTCACGTTATCTAATACTTAGCATAAGCTAAACATCGGTATTTAGGAGATTAATTCCGTGCGTGTGTGTGTGTATAAGCATCGATACTCATCTTATGCTGAATATCAATGACGTGTCATATTGATTCATATATATATATATAATAGGATATGTGGAGTAATTCCTAAAATTAAACAATCAAATATTACTAAAAATTTCGACAATTATATTTTATTTATAAAAAAAGGTCCCACAATATTGTTATTTCTTTTTTATTCATTTGTCATGTGTCATAAAGCAATTATATTAATTTATGAAAAAGTTGAAAATAAAAGACAGCAAGGATAAACTATGTACATAAAAATTGAAAACTACAAACTTTTTACCATATAAAATATTTTATTTGCAGCTCTTTTACTTAATTAAATTGTTAATTATGTGGGGGTGGTTAATAACAATCAGATGGAGATCACCTAATCAACATAACCAAATCACCAATTATAACCGAACACAATAAAAGAAGACGAATAGCATAAATGAAAGAAAGACAAGGAGCACGTTAGTCCAGCCCCCACTTCGGAGAATTGAAGTAGGAACGGGAATATGATTTCCAGTTTGAATTGTATTTTTTATTTTATTATTATGTTTTTAAATTCAAACCGTATTTAAAATATCAGTAAATGAGTAAATCAATCAATGAATGAGGATATTTTAATCTCTACCGGATCACCTTTTTCTATCTCCCAAAAATCCTAATGGATTGGGGATGGGGAAGCTTTCATGTTGCCATCCCTATGAGAATGCTTGATTAAACTTAAATGTTACTTAATTTTGCCTAAATTTTTTAAAAAGTATATATTAAATTTTAAATATTTTTGACCAAGTTTTTTTAATTTATTAACTGAAAACTTACTTCGTTTATACTAAAATAGAGATTAACATTAATAGAAGGGATAATTGCAGCAGAAGCTCCAAACCTTTGAAATATTAGCAAACTTTCCTCAAACCTTTGATTTGTTGCGGCCGTCACTCCTAGCATTTTCAATCATTGCATGTGAGTCCCTTTTGGATAGTTTCCATCCATTTTTGCGTCGTTGACCCAAAAAATTAATTTTGGCCAATTTTAATAGGGACAAAATGGTAACTTTGCATTTTATATTTTTTCAAATATTATTAACAATTAAACTAAAAAGAAAAAAGAAAATATGCCCCACGGCCACCCCATCTTCACCTTCAACTCTGGCTCAACTCCAACCAGCCACCACCCAAACCGCTGAACATACATACCACTAGAAAGCCTTCATCACCCTCTATAACTTCCACCCAACATCATGCCTCGAACCCACCTAAACTTGCAGAAAAGTTTAGCCAAAACAACCTACTCAAGTTCCCAAAAGCGGCTAATATTTTCAATTTCGGCAACACCTGTGTCATACCCAACATTCCAAGTAATTATACACATCAAGACGCCCCTGTCCATGGTCATCAATCATCCTTAAACGCACAGTAACTACATGACTTTTAGATGGCTTTTTCGACACCGGAGGTGCGACCCATGATCACATACAACCACTACAAGCACCTGCTCTTCATGGTGAGTCCAATGAACATATGGGTTTTCCCCAATTTAACCTAGATACCCAGAGGATGCTGGCCGTTTTTCTTTTTATTTTCATTTTTTAAATTTTTTATTCAATTATCCTTTTATTTAATTATTTTAATACATATTTACAATTTTGCCCCCTTTTAATTGATTAAAATATGGTTAAAATTAATTTTTTGGTCAACTGACGAAAAAATTGATGGAAACCATCCAAAAGGGCATCACATGCAATGGTTGAAAAGGTTAAGGGTGACGACTACAACAAATTAAAAGTTTGGAGAAAAT